ACGAATATGTGCAGATGAATGAACCGTTCTTAATCCAATGAATTAAAGAAGCCAAGATTTTCAGGAACCCGCCGAAAGCCAAGGAGCTCTAAAGCTCATAAACAAAGAATACTACTACATGTACACGGGGCGAGACAAACAGTGGGAGGATTTCTGGAGCACAAACGAGCACGTACCACGTGACACTAAGCGTCGTACCGCGTTCCACGCGGCGGCGTGTGTTTCCAGAACACCTCCGATTGGATACATTTCGTTTCTTGTGCATTAATAAGACAGGTAGGAAACGCCAGAAAGCCAAGGTGGAGTGGTGTAGTGGTTTGCACACCCGACCGGACATTGGGAGGCCCAGAGTTCAAATCCTGGCTCCGCCATTTTTTGGCTTTCGGCGGGTTCCTGAAAAACTTGGATTCTTTAATTCATTGGATTAAGTACGGTTCATTCATCTCCACATATTCGTTCATATCCTCCTCGGAGACCACGTACGATGACGTGAAGTGCCCGTGTTGCATATATATATATATATATATATATATATATATATATATATATATATATATTAATAAAACGAGGATTTTTAAGAAGGGCCGGGCGACGTTTAGTTTTGGCTTGAGGTTATAGAGGACGCCTCTGAACGGCGATTGCACTTTAGAAACTGGCAACAGGGCGAAGGTCGTTTCAAGCACTTCGGGCGGATACAACGAGCTCACGACTAAAACAGCAAACTTCCGACGTGTAATCCAACATCGCTGGTATATAATGCAATTCCTAGTCAAGTTGTCAGAAACAATCAACGAAGGATGCATAAAGGCAGAACAAACCTCATTTAAATTCTAAGTAGGCACGGAAACCAAACGTGTCCTGCGGACACCGGTCAGTACTTTGCCTTTCACTGGGTGCCAAGCCACTGAAGTCTTCCATTTTAACGAAGCTCATTTTAATGAACGCCGGTTTACATAACCTCGTTCAAACAAACCATTTATAGAAAAACCCAGCTTAGAAAAAATGGCGGTGTGCCTCCTTTTAGCCAAAATGGAGTGTTCGGGTCGCCCATGTGGGTCAACTTTTTTTGTAATGAGCCGCCGCAGGCTGTATCTGCAAACCGACGCGAATGGTTGAAAAGATGGGTTAACACCTGTCCCAGTGATACACGCGCGAAGTAGGAGACCCATTTTTAGGTAGCGTTCCTTTTTTTTTTTTTTTTGATAAACGGCGGTGCTCTAAACTAAGCCTCCCTTTTTTTTTTTTTATCCGAGTTTCGATAGGACGTGACAGTTCTCTGAAACGTGTTTCAATGAAATGGCGCTCATTCAACAGTAGTGAATTCCTAAGTCACTGCGGCATCGCTAGGAACGAGGTCGTTGAAAAACTAGCCAGGCTCAAACTGATACAACCCCGAATTCTGGCTGTCCAGAGCAAAGCCCCTCGCAGACGCGAAGCTTCTGGTGGCCCGGGCTGCCAAAGCCAACCATCGCGACGCGAGGTACACAGCGGGACACCGCCTAGCTCTGCCTCCACAGGGAGCTAACCCACTAACAGCGGCTGTTATCCATTGACTCCGAACGAGCGGTGCCTTGACTCCAGTGATACTGCACTTCCTCAGGCGCGAGCGCTGAGTGGAAGGTTTTTTGTCTCCAAAACCTTTACGGACTTCAACGAAAAAAAAAAAATTGAATTGTAGCAGTGACCAGAGTTCTATACCATCCATCCACATATAGGCAAGCCGAAGGTATGGGTTAAGAAGAGAAAAAAAGCTTGGCAAAAAAAGGTCAGATTTTCTGTCATTTTCACCTAAGGGGTTTTTATTAAACAGCGGGCAACAGGTTCCGGTTCTACGAGGAAAACACCAGCCAGCCTTTTTTTTTACGTTTAAGCGGGAGATTGCAATCAATTTTCCCTCTTACATATTTAGAATCCGCCTATGGGCACAGCAGTTTTTAAATCTTTTGCCATACCCATCCAAAATGTTTGACGTGTTTGTGATGTCCGTCAAAGTTTTATAAGGGGCCTGATGTAACCTTTAAGACTTTTTATAGGGTGTAAGGGACCCGTCATAGCTTTTTGGGGAGACCGAGGGGGGGGGGGGGGGGTCTGTTTCAATCCTTCTCTTGAAAAGGCAACACCTATAACAATCAATTTGACGAATATGTGGAAGAAATCACGTGTCCATTCCGGATGTATGCGCCGCAAAAACCGCTTGGCCATTTTGTTAGGGACGGACAAACCGATTTTTGGAAATCGAGGAGGCGTGAACCCGTCCCTTCCCGTCGTGGCGCGTCCCAAGCGTAGTGAATACAGGCATGGATGAGCGAACCTGTGGCGGGAGGGAGGTTGCTACTCTTAATTTCAAGTTTCCCATTTTCCGTCGTTTCCTGCCTAGCACGTTTTTTCATCGCAAAGTCCTCGGTCACGAAAGAGAGAGGGTGCGTGGGGACAATGGGGGATTTGGTCTTTGTTTGGTAGATAACCTTTTTCAGTCTTTCGAAATACAGCCTTCGTCAGAAGCTGTCCGCCCTGTTTTTTTTTTTTTATTTTTTTTTTTTTTTTATTTTGTTATTCAGCAATTGTAAACCCAAAGCAGAACAACGAAGGGACCTTCGTTGTCGGCTTGGCGTCCCATGCGTGAGACCTATTTTCTAGAGCAGCGGAGTGCGCTTATAAAGGAGGTTTCAGTGCCCTGTTTCTGGCGCCTCTCGTGCGTCTGGCTGGCTGCAGCGAGCGAAGAAAGACGCCTGTGACGACATCAGTACTGTGCACAAATTTTCACAACAGCAGCGGAGGTTCGTTGCAGGATCGTGGGTCTTGCTAAACGTGCTACTTACAGTGTGTTTGTGTCCGAGTGGTGCACCCTCTTGGTTTTATTGGCTGAACTACCAAAAATCTATGGAGTTTACCCAGCGGTATTGCGAGTACCTTTGAAATATGCTTGTATGCGACAAAGAAAAAATCGATTTTCACTATTTGGTCTGATCACTTTCTTTTACAGCTGCCTATGCTCCCTGTTTGAGCAAACGTTGGCTCTTATCACCTTTTGAGCTAACATCCCTGTAAAACTAAATGTCTGAAATATGTTTGTAATATGGGTTTAAACTGGATTTTGTTCTATGGTTCGCAATAATGTGGGTGTCTAAAGGGTTGAAGGAAAGATGGGGTCTGAAAGGCTGAAGGGTCTGACGGGCAGAAAGGGTTTAACGGTCTGACGGGCTGGAGGGGTTTTTCGGGCTTAGAGGGTCCCATAACACATCAGGGCTCCAGCGCTATATTTAATAGGCCAGTCGGCTTGCTCCTCATTTATAGTGCAGCTCCAAATAGCGAGATGTTTCACCTTCGCCTTCCCGGGTTCCCTTAAAAGAACCGCCAGTATTTATAAGAAACGTCAAAGTAACTCCTAAATGGATCGAAGGCAAGCAGAACAAACTCGGAAGATGTTCCTGGTTGGTAGAGGCAGGTGTGGAAGTCAGCAATTTAGTGAAGAGTGTTCCACTAAAATATCTAATTTTTAAACTGAAGTTACATGACCAAATTTAGATTATTGATGAAGACGCGATATTAGCGTCGGTACCGACCGGTGGTCCCAAGCTGTCTCCTATAGTGCAGGCTGCACGTGGTCTTCTGAGCGTCCACCTCTCAGGGACCCTCTTCGCTTAAATAGTTCCATTGCCCGAAGAGAGAGCGGTGGTCCCACACAACAGGTTGGGTATCGGCCCCTACTGCGCACGGAGGTTTTCAAGAATGCCGGCGGGAAGAAAGTTTTGGTGGAAAGAAACGCGGCCGCGCCTATGGATGCCGGCCCCACCACAGTACTCCCCTTCAGTCCCTGGACGAACGTTCGACGATAATTCAGGACCATGCATCTTCGTCAGAAGAGAAGGAGACGCGAGTGTTGTTTCTTTAGTCGGCGTCACGGTGGGACTTCCGGTATTTGAAGGAGCTCTCCGAGGCGGAGGAAGTCCAATGGCAAACGGAATGGAACAGTTCATGTGGAAAGATAAACATTTCTATGATGAGCTGCTATTACTTAGTTATTAGCGTGAGCATCGACCGTGAGTGGCGTCAGAAAGGCCGCAGAACGTCGCCCGCATTAGCGTGCTGGTCTCCAGACCCCGCATTGAGTCCGCCGCATGCAGGGACTCGCGTAAAATGGCAGGCGGTGGGATGTTGCCGTCAGTGGCCGACGGCGAGTGAATTGCGAGGATTTTCCTTGCGGTGAGGGAACCGCTTGAACATACTCACATTGACATAACTTCTACACTCCGGAAAATAATAAACGCGAATCTTCTAGATGTACGGAGAAGCGTGTCTTCTCGTTCCTGCGCGCATGAATATGTTTTCGGTAAAAATTCAAAATTCTATAACTAAACTGTGAATTCGTGAGGACAAAAAAAAAAAAGAAAGAAATATATCTGAGCCACTCATCACTGTTCTACGTGTGAAAAATACCCATATCAAAGCTGGCCGCTCGAAATCCTAAGTTTCTGTGCTGTCTAAGAAAAAGCGTGATTCCCGTTTTTCGAGTGTCTCGTTAATGAAAAGCTCACCTTGACCTTCCGCTATTATCTTCACGTCGTAGGATCTCTCGCCTTTGTCTTCTTCACAAGGTATTTTATACGCCCATCTTTAAACAATCTCTCTTAAACCCCCCATCATACATCTCGGCTAGAATTGACCATCCTTGTAAGATCGCCCGCCTACAATGCTTCACCCTCGGACACCAGAAGGCGCTCTTACCATCTGCGATTGTGGACTGGAATGACCCCCCCAGAACCTCATCGGCATCACCGACAGTGGAAGATTTCGGGACGCCATCACCAACTACTTCATGTAAACCCACTGCCCTCTGTAACGCCACTTGTGGCCCTGAGGGTATTATAAATAAATAAATAAATAAATAAATAAATAAATAAATAGGTGAAGGATAAATATTTTCAGTAGACCAAAAGCCCCATGTAGTTATGCATTACATTCATCGTAAGCCATCCGTCTTTTTTTTTTTGTCAATGTAGGGCACAACGGGGCAGCCCAAGCCAGCGCGACTGTCTCATTTCAATGTTGTCAACAACGCCAACATTCTGGGCCGCTTCGTTGGATACCATGAACAGGTATCGTGCTGTTTTCCCAAATAGCATTACTTGAATTAATTGAACCCAAATATTGTCATTCTTACACTAAACGAAGAAAAAAAAGCATTCCGCGAAATTTGCTATTTCGGTTAAATCATGCAGGTTGTTTTACCAATTCCTGAATAGAATATATAGAATGATGAATAAAATATTTACCTGATAAAATCTGGATAATATAGCCAACTACGGCGGGAAAATACTATACTCTTGTTTAGAAGTTGTAATAGACCACAATTTTATCTAGATACACACAAAGAATATAAAAAAAACTAACTGAAAAATAACAAAAATTTCCCTGCATCAGCGATATTTTAAAAATATTCCCTCATTCAATCGTTTCAATAAAATTTGGTTTCGTACGTACACATATGAACATATATGCAATATAAATAACTAAGTTTTACCTTGATCGTAGTATTAATGTTATTGAAGAAAAACTTAACGTGTTTCCACCTACGAACTCGCTAATCTTTCCGAAAACAATATAAAACGGACAGAGTTTGACTTTTCTTTAAATATTTTTGTAAGATATAAAATAGATTAATTGTTAAACATAATAATATCTATCTTTTGTGTGTCAGGTGAAGGTCCCAGTACCCTTGTTTCAGCCGTGACAGAAGGGGGTAAAAAATACAATTCAGGACAGGTGTAAGAAATAAAAAGTGGTATTTAGCAGTAATTATATAAGATTAATAAAAATAAGGTGTAAGTATTTGAGTGATGTATTTTAGTTATAAATCCTATGCCCGTCATCTAAATACGCTATAGCAGTTCCAAGAAGGTCTAAAACTGAATTCACGTTGGCCCTTAATAATGGCGAATTAATGTTGTATAGAGGATTATTTTCTTAAGTTTCCTAATATTCAAACCAGAAAATACAGTGGAAACGGCAAAAAGAAAGTGTTCGTCCAGAATAATGTTATCGACTAAGAAAGATGTCAGGGAACTACAGCGGATAAACAATAAAGGGGATTAATTATTTAAATTCGCTAACTCTCTCTATTATTTTAGCTGAGGTATTTCAATTAGAGAAAAGCAGCACGTCGGTATATAACCCGACTACTTGTTAAGCATTAGAAGAAACATATTATTTCTGTTATTACTTCGCAAATTACTAAAATTTACAGCGGGACTACTCACAAAATTTTATTTTATAAAATCTAGCAAGTCTATCATTCCTATACTGACAATGGGATACTAATCTCAAATTAAATATGCCAGCTAAAAAGCATAGTGTACATTTTTTCGACATACTTGGTAATTAATCCACTAATTGTGTTTAATCCCGTGCCAAGACATCTGTCGTGGATTGTAACGCTGATCTGCAAGAATAATTAAAATATTTTAAGTGCTTTGTTAGTTTTGAATATTCTCTATGAAAAATAAAATATATATTTCAACAAATAAACCTTTACAAATCGTAATATTTTAGAGAAATTTCTTTCCGGAAACGAACCGCCGGCGACAATGGCCATTAGGGGTTGCGAAAAAAAAAATTCTGATTGAATAACTATCGTTTAATATTTTGCGTTTTACTCGGTGAAAATAAACATTTAGCTAGTATTAGGAATTTGCTGAGCGTAAACGCAAACCCTTAGATAAGTCGGCTTTATGAAGACTTAAAGCGCGCGTAAATTAAGCCAGGAAGTGCGCCTAAGTATCCATTCGTGCAGCAGGAACAAGGCAGACAATGCGAAAACGCGGATGATATTGTCATTAACTGAGTTTTCGCGAAAAAGTGTTTGTTACGAGGTTTTATTTCTCATATATGGACTTCTTTTTATCTACGAGGCTCAGGCAAATGTGACGTTCTCTAAGACTGCAAACGTTTATTCTTTATTTTGCTTATAGAAACCCAAGACTGTTTTTGTTTGCAGCGTGAATCGATCTGCGTAAACTCTGAGCTAATACATGGATCAGGCAGGACAATGGGCGTGTTGGCTGCCACGCTGTTCGGATCTACCATTGTGATGGCGGGACCTACCTTCTTGCCCAAATTAGCCCTCGAAGTCATCACAAAACACAGGTAACACGAGCTTTGCATGGAATTTTTACTATTCCCCAGTATAGCCTGTTTCGTATTAGGAAAGGATTCGAAATTGCATTCTCTGCGGCATGGAGGCCTAAGCCAAGATGTGGAACCACTGTCTAAATACTGGACTTTATGCTTAATTTTCAGAACCTGCCAATAAATATGTGCACTGCCAATTACCATATTGAATTCAAACGCATTTTTTACACCCGCTTTAAACTCAGGCCTCATCCTTCATAGACAGAATATCCCAGTATGCCGTGCTCAAAACGCCATTGTGTATACAAACCCATCTGTCATAAATTTTTCCTTTCAATCAGTCCTATATAGATCTACATTGCATGCCTACGGTGTTTGCTTCTTTAATTTGAGAATATGCACCTTATTCTCCAAGAGGCCCGTGGCGGAGAGAATAAGACTAAAATTATTGTTAGTGCCTACCTTGCAGATGTACTAAAACATAAATGTTCTAAACTTTTACGAAACATAAAACTGCGCTGTAAGTATACTGATAGTAGTCTAAAAGCCCAACACCACGCCGCACTCCACGACCGGAAGTCGTCCACGTCGTGCGCCTCACACCGTACTACGCGCGATAAGACTGTGAACTGCGATCGTGTGCAACGCTTGAAAGGATTGTAGTTTGCCAGCTTCGTATTTTCCCGTTCTTTTGTTTGTCTTTCTCTGCTTTTCTGTCTTTAATGTAGCATCGATGCGATGCCTTTTTAAATGGGGAAGTAATGCCACGCGCTTCGCTGAGCGAGCGCGTGCGTGGCCGAGTGGTTACTGCGCTTGATTCTCGTGAGGAAGCCCAGAGTTTGATTCCTGGGAGCGACGGGTCTTTTATTTATTCTTTGCAATTTAGATTTCTGTTAAATTTGAAAACCTGTTGCTTTTTCGAGGTCCGAATGTTCTACACGCGCAATCTTTTCCGCCGATTATTCCTGAACCCCACGCGTGTACTACATAAGGGGTTCCGCGTGGCGAGCCGCAGTCAGTCTCGCACCAGCGTTCAATCCTGCTCTTACGCCGCCATCGACGCCCGCGGCGATCTATTGTTTTCTTCTGTTCCCTTTTGGTTTTGGGCACAAGTTTGCCCCATGAAATGCTTAGTTTGTTTAAGTTCTCGTCGCCTCATCCATTTTCATTCGTGACAATAAGAGCATTTTAGCATTTCTTTGTTTGTTTTTTTTAGAAACTATATCTTTGCTACAAGCGACAGTAAAGATTCTAATTGACAGCCCTGTAGGCATACAGTGTAAAAAAAAAAGGTTAAAGCTGTACCACTAAATATCTTGCAGAAAAACGAGTAAACTGAATTTGTGCAAAAGTGCGTTTTGCCGTTTAAAGAGCCGTCCATTCTGTCTTGAGGTGGCCCAACCGAACACCCAAACATGATGATTTTTACAGAAGAGTTCATTGCCATTGGTTGTTGATCCTTTATTTAAAATAATTTTGTACTGAACTGGAAAAAGGAGCTGTCAGACTTTCCACTCTTGTGAAAAAGGAAGAGCAGCGGACCTGTAGCTTTTGTTCTCGGCAGTGGCTTTCCAGGCGAGTGATCTGCTCTTGTTTCGCAAGGGAATCGAAGCGCTCGACGCAGGGGAATTTTAAGGCGCGTTCACACTCTTGCAACCGAGTACGACCGAGAAAGACTTCTTGGGACCGGATGCACTGAGCGGAGCTGGTCCTAAGAGATCGCAAGAGGCTTAAAAACCGGTTTGGTCTCTCTCGGTCGCACTCGGTTGCAAGAGTGTGAACGGGCCTTTAGGCGATAGCGGCCTCGCGGCGGTTGCTGATCCATTCGCGCTGCTGCGCACATCGCCGCTCGTTCCGTTCGCGCTCTTCTTGCTCTGAAGAGATGTTGCCGCCATCTATGAGCGACTGCAGCAACCAGTTCTCTGGTTGACGAGGCTGAAGAGTTTGCCGCGATCTATGAACGAGGGCGGCAAGAAGATAACCTTGGACAGCTACCGTCATCTATGAGCGACGGCTGCAAGAGAGTTGTGTCGACCACGAGTGTCGATATTTTATTGATGGCGGACACGATCCTTGGGAAACTATTCCTTAAAGGGATGGTGAACCGTAATTTGGATTTAAAAAAAACAATGCTGGAGATATAGGCGGGGCGCTACAATCCCTACAACACTGCTAGTAAGGCGATATCTCGAATGGACGACCGTATTTTTGGAAAAAGAAGTCGAGATTGAACCAGGCCGACGAGGCGCGTGACGTCAAGATACCTGGTTTCCTTCTCTCTTCACTTCGCTCCCTCAAGGCCGCGAGGCGGAGAAGACGCGAGGCCGTTCCCTCTCCTTCTTCGAGAAACATGGCGCCAACATTCCTGCCAAATGCGCCTCCTTTTTTTTTTTTAAATACGGTCATCCGTTCGAGATATCGCTGTATAAGTAATGTTTTTGGTGTTTCTAGCATCCCGTTGCACGTTTTTGCCGCGTGTTTTGGGGAATCCAGATTCCGATTCAGCATCCCTTTAACAACTCCGCTCTAAAAAAAAAATCATTTGAGGTTGCGCTTTGCGCTGCAATTTGGCGTCGTTCCTCGCGCCTCTTCTCTGCATAGCACGCCACCGTCGAGCCCGCCAAAGCCTGCGACGGTGTCACGTTTAAAGATACTTCCTTCGAGCGACGGCGCCGGCTGCGGCAGCTGTTCTCGCAACATCTCGTCAGGTATGAAGAGAAGGTGCAGAGCTCCCACCACGGCTCTCTCTCCCGGGCGCTGCTTCTCCCCGGTCTCGCTGTTTTTGGCTCGACAAGTAGGCATGAGCTTCGCGCTGACGCTGCCTCCCAGACGGAAAAAAAAAAAACAACGCGGACATGATGGATGAATACGTAGAAGAAGACGAAATTTCGATGATTTCTCTCTCGTATTTCCTGCTCGCGATGGAGGAAGAGGAGCAGCGAGCGTCAAAAAAGCAGCGTCGCCGTCGGCGGTGGTGGATACGCCCATGCTTACGAGACCGCAAAGGGACGGGACAAGCAAGCTGCCTGCTTCCTCGTCTTTGCAAGCATGCCAGTGACCCTTAGCCATGCCAGCGACGTTGGATTTCTTCGATGGCTGTTCAACTCTTTCGACTGCTGGTTTGAACAGCGCTTAAGGCTCTGGAATTTTCTTGTCACTCTAAATAAAAGTGTGCTTGTAGCTCAGTAAGAGCACTAGCAGGCCGGAAATGCCTCCTGGGAAGCCATTGGACGTGAACACTTTGAGATACTAATTTATCGAGTGTTACTATGTCCCACATTCAATGGCCTTAATAATGGGATTTAATTTAAGAATAAATAATCTTTAAATTTACTCGAATACAGAACAAGACATGAACCAAACGTCGACTGAATGTACTAGGACGTCGGTAGATGCCCGTATTTAGGGACAACTATTGAACTTCCGGTTACTTTACATGCACGAGGCTCGGGGAGCAGCTATGCGCCATTCAGCCCCCTGTTCGCGGCACGAAGTTTGTGCATCGCCGCCTGGTGGATGTTTTTCAAAACCCAGAGTGACGATGCTCCAACATACTCTGCTGGTGCAAGCACGTGCAATGTCAAACTTCTATGCGGTATAAAAATTAAAACATGACATCGTGGGTAGCACATGCACTACCGACAGCAGAGACAACAGAAAACAGAAGCGCCCCTAGAGAGCATCTCACGGCGAAAAGTAGAGATCAGTGAGGACAAGCCACCACCGACGTTCATATTGCGGGTGTTCGAAAAGTGCCTCACGTAACCTTGTCGGAAGCTTACATGAGGCAACGTCGATTCTGTCCTTTCCACCGTATCTCAGGCTCACGTTTCGCTGTCTTTCAGTTTTTTAAGTAGCACAGCTACACATGCGGTGTCTTCGCTATATACGAAATAATCGTTACATTTGTGTGGGCCCTTCGGAACAGTAAGAGGAAAGCACAATAGCTACTTCGGCGTGATCTCACTGAACTTCCGTGATGCGGTATATACAATCGCGGGCAATGCGAAAAAGCCCGGCTGGAAGTGCGTGGCTTAAAAGGGCGGTCACGCTATCAGTCAAATGAAAGCTCGACCATATGGAGGCTTCAGCGGCTATTCACATTTTGTCGTCACTCCCTGCTTGACCAGCTATTGCTGAGTCGCCGGGTTTAAGCGTGGCTGAATCGGCCGCATGGGCATATTGAACAATCAGTTTTCGGCCGATTCAAAATACGTTCATGGGATAAAGGCTTATAAGTGGTATTTACTACATTTCGCTCAGCGCTATTGTCAGTTATGACGCAGCAACCGTCGGCTGACCAAGTGGGGACTGATGACTAAAATCGAACAGCTGCAAAAAGGCTGCTTCTTCAACGACTGCTCCTATGGTAATCCAGCTTTTCTCGTATAGATATTACTGGGGGTCTTTGGAGCAACGCTTGAGCCGGGACTTTTTTTTTTTTTTATCTCGTCCGCCACTGCGTCTTTCAAGATAAAAATAACCACGGATTTCCTGCAAGGCCAAAATATCTTTTGGCCACTCGCTCAAATCGGGGCGCTGCTTTTTATGAAAGCATAGGCGTTCCATAAACGTGTATATCAGAACAGCCGCGGAGGCGACCATGGCTTGGTATCCATAGCAGCTACCACGCGCTTTAGTTTCAGGCGAACGTGAATACTTCGCCCAAAGGCTGGATGTGAACAAACACAACGCATCACACGTAACTCCCTAGGTGCAAGGCGACCTTGCGACCAGACTAAGAAGTAGGTCTGGAAGAGACTGCCATGAATTGGCCGCTTTTAGGATCGTGATAGTTTCTCTCGTATGTGAAAGCGTCTTTCGGGTAAAACAGAGTGTACTTGTTCGTTAATTTTTCTAACATTTATCTCGATGCCTTGCACCTCCGTTCGATAATCCGCTTGGGTTTTGGGTACACACTGGTTTGAGCAAGTCTTACGATTTCTAAGAGAGCGTGGCCACTTTGCTAAGGCGACAAACCTCGTCAAGAAGACGATCGCCTGTTCATTTTAAGTTCCCATGCATTAGGACGAAACATCAAAGGGGCCCTAAGGAGGTTTCTGAGATCACCTAAATATGGCTACAATTCACTTTGCGGGCTGTGCGCATTCTCGAAATATCTAAATAATGGCAATACGCGTCCGATTTCTCAATAAAAAAAAAAAAAAAACAGTCAAAGATCGCAATACGCCCAGGTCACCTCCGGCGAAGGAAGGAGCCTGTTCCGAAACCGGGAAAACTGTCATGCAAGAACAAGCGAAATGACTTCGCTCTTCCGACCGGTGGTACCGCGGAGTGATATCTTGAATGCGCGCGGCTCGTTGCCCTTATAGCCCAGACTACGATTCAAACGGATGAGCACCCGCTATACAGAGCTGACGACGGGACATAACACCCCTGCAAAAGACAATGAAAAACAAAAACAAGAAAAGAAGCAGTACGCTCGTTTGAGACGGTCATCGCAGTATAATGTTTTCTCTTGAAAAAAAAAAATCTACATTTTTCGACAACTTTTTTTATTTCATAATCTACAAAGGTACGCACACTTTGTAAAAACATCGTTCGCGATCTGAACATATTGTCGCGTTTTTATTCGGAACATGTCGTCCTAGCTGCCGGAATAATATTCCTATCATTGCCTGAGATGACCTCGGTGTGTTCAGTTTTCATTGCTATTTTAATAGGAAAATGAACCGAACATCGTTTTGATTTATAAATTTATAGGATGCTTAGAGACCGCAGAGGTGAGTTATTGCCATATTTTTGCTGATCTCGAAAATCTTCCCTGGGCACTTTAAATCTAGTGTGACGAGATCACACTAGAGTTCACCTATTAGCCCCTAAAATTAGGTTTGATGGCTTAAGACTCGCCAGCATATATTTATAAAAAATAACTCACAATTTCAGGTGCACGATGGTCTACGGTTCAACGACCTTGTTTTTCGCCATGGTTCGGGACCTTGAAGAAGGAGTACATGACGTTTCTTCGGTTAGAAAAGGTAGGAATGTTAGCTTTAAAAAAAGAAATATATTATTCAGCGACCAGGAGCAAACGGTAAGGAACAGCTTTAGTTATGCCGCCTCCAGCGTAAACTTGCTACCTTCGTCAGCAATTAGGCGTTTCGTGCACCTCAAACGCAGGCTGATAGCCAGAGCACGGCGGAAGGCTTAGAGCGCGCGCTGGAGGCCGGGCACTTGAATGGCACGCCCTGCCGTCCTCCTTTTCTTGGTGACCATAGCGTCACATTTTTGACATCTCCGAAACTTTGGATCACCTTAAAACTGATTGCAGTAAATATTATGAGCGCTATTTTGTTTTTGGTTGCGTTTTGGAGGTTTTCACGCATGTGTGCTCACACATGCCCCACAGTAATGCGTGCTGTGCTCCGGTGATCGGAAAGGGGTTTTATATTTTGGTTTCCCTCTTGCTATTGCCACAACGCTCATTTTCTTTCTCACCCACATCACCGTTGTGACGGCAGGCCATGGTTCCAATAATAAATCGTATAAACGCGAAATCGGACGTTCATAATTTGACGCAGCAGTAAACGTCTTATTCTCCTCCATTGATTGTTCATTTCTGCGGCGCTCTGGCGGGAGTACCTGTTTTGCCGGTTTACGCCAGAGATTGCATGACAGTCTTTTTCAACGTAAAGAAGTTCGCACAGAAAGGATCAGCAAAACCTTCGCACATTTTCTGTGGAATCTAGCTCAACGTTTCTCACCCAAAGTCAGCGTCGTGTCTCTGAAAGCTGCAATAGCCTTCCGCCGGAGTAGGCGATGTTCTTCCAGGAACCCCAGATACGCCACGCCGACCGAATTTCAGTGTTTGCGGGCAATGACAAATAATTTACAAGTGATATCAAATCGGTAAAGAAATGCACGAAAACTCTTACAAATGGTAAGTTGGAGCATTAAAAAAACCACTCATTGTAGGCATCGCAATTTTACGTCTTCAAGTACAATTTTAACACATGGGTATTGTTCTGTGATACATTATTTGGGGATGCGTTATACACTAATGAATGTCTGGTCAGCTGGCCTCGACAAGTTTAAAAAAATTATTCTCGCGATAAGATCAAAAAAATAAACGTCCAGCTTCGCACAAGGAAAAACACATCTCTGTTGTTGAAAGACAGTAACCTTTAAAGGGCCCCTGAAAAGAAAAAAAAAGTTTTTTTTTAAACAGTCTGGTTGGAACACCCGTGTCAAAAAATGAATTTTACGCAAAAAAAAAAAAATTTAGAGCAATATTGACGGCGAGAGATTTATGTGAAGTTTTGCGCGCAAATTCCATGGTCATTCAGCTCGGCTTCTCATTGGTAGCGATGGTCATTCAACTCAGCTTCTCATTGGCCAATAGAATGAGTGACAGCTTAGATGTTGGTTTAAAAATCTTCGTGATTTTTTTAAATCGCCTTTTGAATTACATATTTTTAGGTTTAAGAAACAATCCATCGAATGAATGTCGCAATTGTTTACAAACGTTTTACAAAATCGTAACTTCCGTTCGGATACCACAACAAAACAACAAACAAAAGCTTCGCCATTTTGTTTTCTGTCGTGGTCGCCGTCTTCGCGTTTCGCGTTCTGAAGAGGGCTTGTTGCTTGTGTTAGTTAGTCAGTCATAGTAAGTACTTAGGAAGTGGCGCGGGGTGACAGGTTTCTGTTTTTCTGCTCTTTGCGCGATTCGTGTGTCCCGTTTACCTCATCTTTTGTTTGTTTTCTAGCGCGCGCCAGTGCCAATGTTTGTTTAGATGTCGGTTCCCGTGGTTCCCGTAAAGAGTTTAGTGAGGCACGCGGCACCACACTCAACGTTTAATAAAAAAAAAAAAATCAGTTACCACTGCGTGTCCTCGCGGCGGCTTGAAGGATCGTGCGGCTCGAACGAACTCGTCGAGGCACCCGCTACGCCGCGGCGAAGCGGGTGCCTCGCGGTGATCGGAGCGGACGCCTTCCGGCTGGCGAGGCGTGTCCTCGTACGGACGAAGGCCCAGCTGCTGGCAGCGTTGAAGCAACCGACGCTTCAGGTCGGGGTCCACCGGGACGACTATGTACTGTGTGTACGACCACGGTGACCACGGTACGTGCACGATACGACGCGGTATGTCGTTCGACCGGCAGACAGCCGGCCAGGGGCTGTGTTCCAAATCTCCAAATGGATCCGAGTTTCTCCGGCGGATCGTATCACGTGACAGCACAGATTGAAAAACGTGAAAAACGCTGTACGCGGGTAGGATTTAGAACGCCAAGAGTACAAAACCCTCACCCTGGGGTAAGATCGAGTCAATTTTGGAACACGGCCAGGAAGTAGCAATGGCTCTCGTGCGGGGCGCAGCCAAGCCAGGAAAGCAGCCAAGCCGATCCACTACGAAGAGGCGGGGACTACCTCTCCTCCACGCGCCCGAGATGCCGAGAGAGAGAAAAGTGGAAAGGAGGTGACTGCCGACTAAATTGCGTCTGGCGCAGTCAATATTGCTCTAAAAAAAATTTTTTTTCGCGTAAAATTTATTTTTTGACACGCGTGTCTCAACCAGACTGTTTTTGAAAAACTTTTTTCTTCTTTTCAGGGGCCCTTTAAGCTCCGTATCGTCAAAACATCATCACCCATAGCGCTTGTATCTATTTAGAAGACGGTTTACACATAAAGCACATTTGTAGTACAGATATATTAGAATCTAATTACAAAACGAAACCAACACGGCTTTTTTTTTTACTCGGCTTGATTCATAGCGGCTTAAAGCAATCTTGGTTTGGTCTTTACACTCTAATATAAGTGCAGAGCACATCCTACAGCTTCTCTGCTGCGCTCCACACTTGAAGCCTTTGACTTTGGTGGTGGCTTCGCTGCATTGCCCACGTCCTTATTTGTACTTTTCTAACTTTGTCTCAACATTTTACATGGTTCATTTCTGCAATTATCTCTAATCACTTGTCTTCTGGATGCCTTTTTTTCGTTTGACATTTCTTTCGTAGCAATAATGGGTGGATCCTTATGTAATCCTGCCACCATTGAAAAAGCGATCGCAAGTTTGAATGCCCAACATCTATACGTACGTAAACAATTTTGAAGCGTTTCTTTTTTTTTCTAAGGAAGGCTATTCAGTAACCTTGTATTCCTAACTGACGTCGCTCAATGGTGCCACATTTCAGATTGTATACGGCGCCAGCGAAACCAGTCCGGTCATCACTTGCACAAATCCCGGTGAACCAACAGATCGCTGGATTCGAACGCTTGGAACGCCGCTGGATAACGTTGAGGTCGGTAGGCACCGGTTGCTGGTCACTTTCTTTAAGCTAAGGATTAGCTGATGCCTTTCGATCAGATCTCTACCTAAGCTTTCAACATCTCCATAAATTTACGCGCTGGAGTCTGGTTGAAAGAGAAAGCTCATAAAAACAAAAGGTTCGGCCTCTCGTACAACAGATCAAACAAATGGCTGAGTTCGGCAAGGTGCAGGAAAATTACAGTGTCCCGCCAATATTTTCGTGAAGGTGTCTCTTGGTTGAAGAACATCTGAGTAGGTTTGTACGCGAACTCCACATCTAGCAAAATGTATATTGCACCTGCGAAAAAATGAGCACACTATACTGAAAATAATGAAGACGGAAAACTACCAGGCTGCGCAGAAACAAAATGAAAGTGGTAGCAAGGAAACTTGTATACTGAAAGGAACTGTTTATGTTGTCGAGTTTTCTTTCCATTGTTTCATGAACCTTAACCATCCTCGATATGCGTTTCAGTTTAGGTAAAAACGGTACATCGAAAACGGGAGGGAAGAACGTGCGGGACGGTCTTTTCCGAAAATGGCTAGAGCGGGAAGCAAGAGAATGGGGAGAAGATGTACAAATGCGCACAAACGTAATAAAAAAAAAAGGTACAATGTACTCTTTCCCAGCTCCCGAACAGTTATACTCTGGGACCTCTTCCCTCGCTGCTGGTACGTGTGGCTCCGTCCAGCTTCTTCCCGCATTTGGTCGACACAAATGAAAAATGCACTTTGAGGCATTCGGGGAAAAAGATGAGGCGGGTCGTCACTGCTGGCAGGCTACATATAGGCTCCGTAGTTTTTTGGTAAATTCTGTGCGGAAATGTTTTAGTCAGTGCTTTGTTTTTTTGCGTCTGTGGTCAAGCGAAGTGGACATTCACTTTCTGGACGTTAAAAATCGCTAAAGTAAGCGACTTTTCTTGAGAGTTTCTGCCTTTTTCTCGGAGCACGCTTTGTGTACGGCTAAGCCTAACACCAGTCAGGCCTAACAGCTAGATCGGCATGGAAGCCGACGGCTCGTTGCATGCGTCGGAGACTTCGGCGGCACAAGAAGATACCACCGGCGATTCTAGGTATTCCCTGTGTCGAGCTGTAATTTTTAGAGAAGATGTCTCCAAAAAGGATTTCTACGCGAAGGGATCTGGATGGACAACGGCGCTCCTGAATGCGTTACGCAAGAAGCAAGAAGCCTCTAGAACTCTCCAGAGCGCTGCTAAGTCTCACGATTGGCTCCAAGAAGCAAATAGGCCTCGCTCGACTCCGAAGCCAATGCCGACTATATTGCCGAAGGACAACATGAAGGTAGTTCTCCGACTCAGGGGAGCATTGAGTTTGCGAACGTTGAATCGAATAGTCCTCCGACAAAGTGTTTTCAAGGCGGCGGAAATAGACGACAGCGCATTAATCCGAACCGACACCTTTGGGTACAACAAGCAGCAGAACACCCTGATCTTCAGCACGCCCGACAAAACTCGAGCGGGAAAACTCAATTCTGTTCAAGGCATTGAAGTTGACGTTCGCCAGTAGCCCGTAGTAACGTACGTGATAGCACCAGACGATACCGTCCAGGCAGTTATCCTTGGCATTCCTGGGGAAGACACGGATGACATAATCACTACGAGCTTGAACTTGGTACACCCCGGCAATTCAAGGATCGTAGAAGAGAGGATAATGGGTCAGTTAAGCTAGGTTATCATCCTGTTTCAGGGTCGCCACGTTCTATTCTGGGTATAATAATAGCTGTGGGGAGAGGCGATGATTTCTCCACAAGAAGAAACGGGATTACTGCGTGAACTGCGGTAACCTAGGACACCCTGGTGATGTCTGCCAAGAACAAACCCAACGAAATGTCATAATTGCGGTACGCACCACCCCGAACAAGGCCATGCATGTGTGCCCATCTGTGGAATCTGTGGCAAGTGTCACCCAACGGGAGCAAGGCAGTGCAAGAAAATATTTCGCACTCCACCCAATACGAAACACTTCGCACCACCAAACACCACCAATGTCGAAAGCCCAGCCCTGCGGAGCTCCGAGTTCCCACCACTTGAGACGTCTAGAGCGAGATCAAGATCGAGGGGACGATCCATGTCACGGAGCAGAACTCCACGTCGAGTAGCCAGGCCCAGCAGGTCGAGGTCAAGATCAAAGGCCACACACAGCGTGGGGTGGAGCGAGGTGGTAGCTGCTCACCCCAAAACTGAGCCAACCTCACGCACGGCAGACAAGACCTCCTCCAAGCTCGCAGAGTTGAAGGCTATAATGGAGAACTTCAGGACACAGTAGCACGACTTCTGCTACAAACTGCAGATTCGGAAAGACAAATGAAGGAGGCCGAAGTTCGGTATAACGCAGTACAACAGCAACTCGACTTGCAGAGAAAGGAAGCAGGACCAACTCCCAAGAGGAGAGCTGTCCGCCGGAACATGACGCTGCTCACTTCTACTCCCTCAGGCACAACCATGGAGCATGAAGGAGTAGCCATGCAACAGGACACAACCAATCAAAAACATAGGCACACGCATAGACCAGGTGGAAGGCGAGATGCGCGAAGTAAAGCAGTACTTGAAGACCATCCTGGACAGACTCCCACAACCCAACAATGGCGAAAACAAGTAAAGGTTGCATTGTGTGGCAGTGGAACTGTCGAAGCTTGGCTCCGAAGAGGGGACACCTTGACCAGTACCTACAGTCCCTAGCACCAGAACGCAGACCAGACATTTTAGCCATACAAGAAACGTGGAAGGCCATCACCATTCCGAGATACAAAGTCTTTAATCACACCAACTCATCAGAGGTCGTACGAGTCACCACGCTGGTGCGATGCAACCTACCAGCTCAACTTCATCCAAGAGGCATCAATATCATCGAACACAAACACTCATCGAAATCTTGGCGGGCAAGAAGAATAGCCATCGCAGCACGTTCATCCTCAATGGATACAGGCCTCCGAAGACACGACACTCGGTTCACCAGCTCCTGCGCGGCGCCATAGACGTGTCTAAGGTAAAGGCTCTGCTTATCGTTGGCGACTTTAACGCACCACACGTCATGGTGCTATCCGCAAGATTGTGCCAAGGGTCAGCAGCATTGGCAGGACATAGCCACCCAGGGACCGGACCTACTTACAGACCCGACTCAGCCAACACTGAAAGCCACGGGCGAACGCAGAGACAAATAACCAGACACCACACTCGGTCACTGCTTGGAAGAAGAATGACACAATACCCTACAAACTCTGCGCAGTGACCGCTACATCATCAACATCCTCCTGAGACGCGGCCCCACGAAGCCCGAGGGAAGGCCTTTGCGAGTAGTCGAGTGGGACACTTTCAGGAAGGAGCTAGACGAAATGGACCGAAACGAAGAGACCAAGGCCCTGGACCAGTGTACTGCAGGCATCGCAGAAGTTGAAGGCTCAGCCAAGCGAAACATTACCGAGGATGTAAATCTGAACGCGGCTAACAGTCAGCTCCAGCACCTAGGGGAAAAGAAGACGAACCTTAAAGCAGGATTATGGCGATGGAAACGAAATTATCGGCTACGCAAACGAATCGCAACATTGTACAATTCATATTAGACAAAAAAAAAGAACACAACGCAAAGTCTCAAACATAGCTGTAATATATTGACAGAATATTGTGGTTTTTATCGGGTTCCCGAACGCAAAAGAGTGGTAAAACATTGACTAATAGCATACCGGTACTCTTCAAACTCAAACAAAAGGGGGAAGAAGAAAGATCTCTTAATTTACGTCGGTGAGGTCCTGATACACATCACAAAAGAAAGGCTGCGGGATGGTGGCTCATTAGGGGAAAGACCATCGAGAGTCACAGCACCAATCTCACAGCTCAGCAGTGGAAGAAACCTGCAATGAGCTCGAAAGAGCTCCCAACACTCCGAAGACGTGGAACGTTCTTTGACATCTCCTCGACCTCAGACAAAGCCGAACCAAAGTTCACAATCAGATGGAGTGTATCCTGAACTCCTTCAAGAATGATGGAAAAGAGCTTCTCCAAGCAGTACAGAACAAGTATATTGGACGAGCTCCGCCAACACCTCCGACGGAATACACGGGCCAGCCAAACCCTACGCTAGACGAAGAGTTCCGACCCTTCGAAGTCATGGCTGCGATCCGAGAGCTCAAGACCCGCTCCACCCCAGGACCTGATGAAGTCTCCAACAAACTACTGCGCCACCTGGACGACAGAGAGATTGACCGGCTAACATCATACCTCAACGTCTGCTGGCGGAAAGGAAAAATCCCGGAATATTAGAAAACTGCGCAGATGGTGTTTATACCCAAGCCTGGGAAAAAAACTACAACTGGACGCCCTGCGCAATATTTTGTTCACATCCTCTCTCGGGAAAGTCTTGAAGCATGCCGTACTCAATCGCCTTAACAGGCACGCAGAAGCTAACAGAGTCTTCGCGGACACCATGGTCCGGTTCAGACCTAAACTCTCGGTGCAAGACGTGATGCTACGACTGCATCATGAGATCGTGTCACAGAAATATGCACCCAAGAAGGACACCAGAGCCATCCTCGAACCGAACATCTCGAAAGCCTTCGATAATGTCAGCCACGCGGCCATCCTCCGTGGACTAAACTCCATTATTGTGAGCGAGCGAATCTTCAAATGCATACAGAGCTTCCTATGAAGCAGGTAGGTACAGGTCTTGACCGGCGGGTTCCAATCTGACCTGCAAACTCTGGGCGGAATTGGCGCACCGTAGGAGCCAGTGCTCTATTCGTTTCTCTTAAATATCGCTATGGAGTATTTACCGACAAAACTAAAGGTATCTCCAACCTTCACCACAGCATCTACGCAGGTGATGTCACTCTGTGGAAGACAGGAGGGAGCAACGGCGCCATCCAAGACTCGCTGTGAGAAGCTATACGCATCGTAGAAGCCTACACTAAGGAGCGCGCTCTAGCCTGCTCTCAGGAAAAGACGGAGTTGATACTCATGGCCGGCACCATGGCAAAAACTCCTTTAAGCGTCATACTGCAGGTTGGAGGCAAAGACGTCCCTCGAGTCCAGCGAACTCAAATACTCGGTCTGCAGTTGCAAGAAGATGGCAAGAGCACATACAGCATCATAGTCCTTCGTAAGAACGCACAGCAAGTAGGAAGATTCATTGCAAGAATCGCCGCAAAACGGTATGGGATGAATGAGCGGAATGTCATTCGCCTTATCAAAATTCAAAACATTCGTGATTAGCAGGATTGCCTACATCGCACCCTTCCTGGACTTGACACTCACGGAAAAGGATGCCATCAATCGCATCATCCGCTGCGTATACAGGAAAGCGCTTCATCTACCAACTTCAACAGAGACTTCGCGACTCGAGAAGCTTGGGCTCGGAGATCATTGAGACACAGAGGATAGCCCACTACGAGAGGTTATCTCTGACCACAGTGGGGAGAACCATCCCCACATCTTTGGGCATCAAATACCCCCCAACAGGGCACAGAACGCGAGGCTGGCTTCCAAAAGAGCTACACGAGCAGCTACAGATTGCTCCTCTACCTCGTCACATGCATCCAGTGGGCGAGGCAGGCAGACGCATGGCCAGAGTCAAGGCTCTGCAACACTTTACAGCAAGGCTACGACGGCTCTGAGGTGTCCTACGTCGACGCAGCCTCACCTGACAGAGGTGGAATGACCCTTGCAGTTACGTATCAGTCCCGCCAAATCCTCACGGCAGGCAGCATGCATAAAAGTAACAGTGCAGAGGCAGAGGAAGCAGCCATCACCTTGGCCCTCACCCTCAGCACAACGAAAGTCATCGTCAGTGACTCCCAGATGGCCATCCGGCAGTACATGCGTGGCCACATCTCTGACAAAGCCCTCAGGATCGCCACTGACAATCGCCTGATCGACCACCCAGTCCGCTTCCTGTGGTCTCCAGCCCTTGCGATACTCCCAGGCAACGAGAGTGTTCTCAGTGCAGCCCGCGCTCTCACACACCGGGCTAGCACACCAAGTGAGCACTCGACCTTCGCCTTGTGGAGCAACGACAACCTCTGCACCTTTAAGGGGGTGCTGGACCACTACCGAGCAGAACACTGAGCCTACCCAGAGGCTCACAGCACTCTCAACAAAGAAGAATCCACCATCCTCCGTCAAGTCCAGAGGGAGACCTTCCTCAACCCGGCGGAGTTATACTCGCGGTATCCAGATACCTATGACCCGTCTTGCATGAACTGTGGCGAGATCGCCACGCTCCCTGGGGGTGCCCGGACTCCATCAAGACTCCGTCAAGCAAGCCAGGCAACCAGGCGCATGAGAATCCTTCCTGCAGGATCCTGACCCCAAGACTCAAAAGATTCTAGTACAGCTAGCTGGTCTCGGACGCCGCTGGGAAAATCGCATCTCGTCTGTTGGCCGAGGGAATCGCTTCGTCACACTCTTTTCCAAAGAGAGACTCGCGTGACGGGGAGATCTAGCAGTTTTGGAATCAATAAAGTCTACATTACCTCAGACATACCTTCACGTTTTTGTCCTTTTCTAACTGCCGTTGACGGAATTCGGCCAAGTGGCATTCAAAAACAGACAAAAAAAAAAAAAAAACCTGGAGGGGCGCTGAAAACAGCTTGATTTCTATATTATCTTTTGATGTCCTCTTCGTTTTCGCATATATTGACATATTTTCCGACATCCGATTTCTTTTTCCTTAGTGCGCAAAAGAGTTGTTGTAAAAAAAAATGCACTGCTACATTAAAGGTCTTTTTGTTAACATTTATATCCGAATTACTTGAAAAACAATTTTAAGTAATATATACTTACCAAAATAAAAATACATTTACAATTCACCGTATTTCTTATAGTTACTGTAAGTTGAGTGGAATAATACTTAAAGCTGGTTTTCAAAATATTGCCAAGTAACACAGAAACTATACGACGTCTTTCATCCTCTGCAGGTAAAAGTTGTGGACGCTGAAGGCAGGATGGTTCCCTGGAACATGAGGGGTGAGCTGTGCACTCGAAGTCCTTATGTCTTCAACGGATACCTCAACAATGAGGCCATGACGAAGGACGCTATCCGAGACAACTGGTACTACACAGGGTAAGGCAGGCAGTAACGTCAGTTGCAGTGCCACAGCTTTAATGAAACTTTCCACACTGTGACAGCGAAATTACGAGTACAGTAATCTGCGTGGTGTGGCGTGCTGGGTGCCTATAAACAATTCTGAGAAGACAAAGCTAGGCAAAGTTACTGAAACAAAAAAAAAAAAAACGTGCAATACTTTCTGAAAAAAAGAAGGTTCATAAATGCACTACCTGATGTGGGACAGCGCTAGGACATTTCGCTTCTGAAGCACTCTTTGTTTGTAATTGCAAACTTTAATTTAGGTAAAAATAAAGTATCCACAAAAACAGTCCTCCAAACGAACTCTCTCATTGTGAGAATTCTAACCGCAAGTAATATTTGTGATGTATAGTCAAATATTTATTTACACCAGTACAAATATGTACACTACTTGTTTTGGTTTTCGCAGCGAGCAGGTTAGAATTTGTTTGTATACAAAGAGGGTTAAAGCCTACTGGAATATAATACAAAAAGCCCAGACTGATTTCTAGATGAGTCGGAGAACCTGAACACAAAAAAGTGTTCTCGTTGCACGAAAGAATTTGTTTTAATATTGTCTTGTACGTGTGCCCATCAATATGTTAAAATTACCAAGTATTTCCAAAATTACCAATTACCAAACGCGGCTCTGAGTATAATATTTTGATGACGTAAACACGCAAACTTCGAAATAAATTGATATTGTGCAACGTTGCGCGCTTATTTAAGTGGACGTTTTCACAGATACATTAAATACCCTTAACTGTTGTTGTTCCACTCACTCGAATTTTCCAGGACAACGCAAAAACAGTAAGCTTCCCTGTACCTTTGTGACATATCTTTAATAATTTTGGTTACATATATAGTTTCCCTACATATATAGTTACATATATAGTTTCATATATAGTCTTCCAATCCTTAATAACCAGAAAATGTTTGTTTGCAATCGCGTTCCACGGATGTATCCGAAATTAAATTATAAGTTTCTCCTTCACCGAATGAATGTAAATTTCGAAGTATAAAATAATAACGATTCGCATTTAACTGTTTCTTTGTTCATATCCTCCACTCTTTAAAATTTCATAAATTAGTTCTAGACCCGCCCCTCTTTAGACGCGTTGTTCCAGTCCAATTCCTGCAGCATCCTTAGTCCTACAGTCTAGTGTTTCTACACTACCGTTCTCTACTGTCATAAATTTCTACACTACTGTTCGCTACTTTCGGCTGCAGTTTCAGAAATAATTGTTTTAGGTGCAGTGAATCCCCAAGTAGAAATCAATCAATCAAATCCAGTTTTTTCCAGAAACTCTGGTGGGAACGCCCATACAAAGAGCTGTTGAAAACAGCTTGACTATGTATCGGATCCCTTTAGATAAATGAAGATATGGTGATACCTTTGCATGAAACACTATGCTGCGGCGGCTAAGATTGGTGATCCCCCATTCCAGCGCGTCTTGTTTGTATTCCCTTCTTTCGGCCCCCAGGGCGCTATCGAATGCGATTCACTTTCTTCACGTATAGGACGGAACACCTGACGCTTAAGAAATCCTTGCCAATTTCTTTTAATATTAAAACTCCCACAAAGCAAGTCCTGGGTACATGGAGATGATGCCTTTATCGTAAAATTATGTAATAAGTATGCTTTCAGCACAATACTTTATGACACAAAATTCCACTATTTGGAAACGTGGCTCTATTTCGGGGACGATATCTCGACAATATCTGAAAATATGAAACACCCAAAATGAGCCTGGCAATGCAAATATTACGGCCTGAAATTGTTTTCCCAGAGAAACATTTCTCTTCATTTTTTTAAGTATAGATATTCTAGCTCCTTTCTTAAAAGAAAATTCCGGCAGGAGTCTAGTGTTCCTTTAGAGATGTTTAAGAGTGAGAGAAATTTTGGATTTTTTTCATATATTTTTTACGTATGATGACAAACGTTGACTAATAAAGCAATTGGCAGGGAAACCTGGCTTTGAGAATTTAGAAAATTGTAGAGTTAATAAAAAATTATTGCCGTGTTAAAATTTTATTTTCGATGTGACAACTTGTTCGCAGGGACGAAGTAACAATGAGCGAGGACGGTCGGATCACATTTGTGGGCCGCATCAAGGAGATGATTAACTTCAAGGGATTTAAAGTGGCGCCACTGGAAATAGAGAACATTCTGAACACGCACCCAGACGTGGAGGAGGCTCAGGTATGTTTCCCGAAGTATGAGGCGGTGCGATCCGTGCACGAGTACATACTCAACTTGCTGCGGGTCATGGACTTGTGTCGTTCTGTCGAAGAAAGCCCGTAACATATACACGTTCATTTTAAAACCACAGAGCAATAACCTCTTTGAAACTATGTATTTATCTCGGCAGAACGCATTGTAGTGAATACATATTTACGCTCACCAAACTTCGTCAGAATTACCACAATGTACTCATGTACCACAATGTACCACAATATACTCAGCAACTTAAGAGGGATGTACGTGGTGACAGATAAGTTGCAAAACAATGTTCAGTCGTGGTTGCTTTTCAATTGGTTAAATAATATATGCATTTATTTATAAAAAAATCTCAATAGGCTAGCGCAACCGGTAGACGTCGGCGGTCACCTTTCTCCTTCCAACCCAACTTCTTCACCTTTAATTAAAAAATTTTCATAATAAAAACGCGCTTGCTGACCATTTTTGTTCAATCAGTTCTGAAACCCTTGTAAGTTCTAAAGTATTTTACGTAAACTAATCATTCAGTTGAAAGTTATGCCATGGCTCAGTTACCTCTTTCTTCGCCTTGTCGTTTTTTGTTCCGACGTACACTGTAAGAAAACAAAAGGAAAGAATGTATCAAGGACGCTTATTTTTCGCCTGTACTGACGCGCACCTAAACAGACATTGGAAGAAGGAAGAAGCAGGCTTTTTGTTTTCCTTCTTTCGGCTGGTGGAAGGAAACTTCCGCCCTTCCATCTCGTTCTTCTTCGATTTCGTGTTTCGGGAACGTCGCATGCGTTATTCTTTAAAACTCCTTAGTTAATTAAGCGTCAGTATTTAGGCCGCCTGTACGCTAGTATATCAGTCTAGACGCGCAGAACCCCTTGGTTTCATTAACTTTTAAAGTGCCAATTTTGTCGCCCGATCAAATAAAGTGATTAGTTACAGCGAAGTTCCGGAGCAGCGTAGCCGGGGTCCCTGTCGTTTCGTCGAAACTCGTTCCGTGGAGTTACGTTTCGTCAACTTTTCATGGACACGCGTTTATGGACGTACCTTTCGCCGACGCTAACGTCTATGGACAGTCGCTGTGGGAATCGCAGTCCGCAGGGACATTTCGTCGCGCATGTATAAGTGAGGAGCCGGCTAACCCATCGGGACCCCCGTTAGCTCCAATTTTCGGCGACAGTCTGCGTTCGCTAATTAAAACAATAAAATGTAAACCCCCCTGACATAACCATACTTGCCTCTTCGCGGCGACAGTCTGATGCTGCTTTTCACAGAAGGAAATCTAATCTTTGTAGTTGATGACGCGATTGGTCGATAGAACAATTTATTCATGAAACATCGCGTGTCGATGAAATTATATGTCAATGATTCGTCGTTTCATAAACTGATTACCCCCGTTGCAGCAGTTTTAAGTGCACTGGATTAAGATGGCTGTACCGGCAACGAAGTCATGGTTACATTGCGTCCAGGACAGAGAGGCTTTGCAGAGGAATGGCTGCGTAACGTCTGAGCTACGTTCGGTTATGTTTCCTGTTACACCCTGTCAACCGACGATGAACGTCTCTGTGTACTCTTGAGTGTCCCCATACTGCCATGGCAGTGTTGTACGTTGTGAATGAAGGCTGGAATGGTCGCCGATGTCACCATGTGTCTCTCGTACCAGTGGTGTAACAGCAAGATTATATGACATATAGTCGCAGGTTAACAATCATCTTTGGAATAAAGAGTCTGAAAAGACCACTTGAGCGATTACAGTCAAATTGGTCGACCTACAGATAGTCATGATAAAACGGTGCTTTAAACCATAGCTCCTAAATTATAGTGGCAATGTAACTCTAATCTCCAATGACCGGTTTTCCTCTCCACGAAAGCAATTGCACTCTCGTGGAATGGATGGACAGTCTTAGATATGACGGAAAGGCAGCATATTTCTAATCTTAGATGGTTAACATATACGGATATTTACAGTCTGGAATATTAAGATTAAAATAAAACTAACAAAAAGACCGATGATAAGATAAAATATAAAGTTTATTTGTGTTATATCCGGAGATTATTTAGTTGACAGTCATGTTGTGATCAAGAAAAAATAAATAAAACTCCTGTTACATCATATTAGTAATAAAAGAAAATGGTGGGCTAGTTGGCATAAAGTCCTCTTATCAATGCCCTAATTCATAAGCCGTGAACGTATAAGACTAACAGATTTTAACGCGCTGACCATCGGTAAGGAACTATGCACTTGGGAACATCGAGGGCTCGCCGTTCATCAATGCCGGACGGTGTATTCGCCAGAAATAATCGGCGCTACGGTCAGTCAATATAATGTTATTTTATTTCTGCCTTCCACGTATATCCGGGTACATAATAGTCGCTTATTTACTACAGTTGATGCCACTATTCCTTTGTTTTTTAAGCTTGCCGCGTCGAGCTAAACGCACACAACACGCGACACAAATCGCGGCTTTGTCCAACGGCCTTGTCTGCATTCATGTAGGTCGAAAGGCGATTTTTCTACATGAATTATCGCTTCCAGCTGAGTTAGAAGAAATCAAGATATTAGTAAAATATCGCTTGCTTTGATGATTATCGAGAATAGTTTTACCTTTGAAATGACTAGTAAAAGGCGCAGCGTATATAGCGATAAGGATAATGCACGTTTAGGTTGAGGTCCCTATGTGCTGTGTTTGTGTGCTGATGGGCTCAATATGCTCTCCTTAGGGTATTGTATGAACTATCACGCTTATGTATGTGTGTATAACAAAGGTGACTGAATCGCAAGAGCTGCGCGAGTGAAAGATCGTCTTTGTTGCGTATGAATTTAAGACTCCTCAATAAAACATGTTAGCATATCTCCTTCTCTCTTACTATATCTCCTTCTCCTTCTCTTCCTTGTCGTCGTATGTTAATACCTTAGCCTCAGATTGTCACTAAAATATTTGATATACACCAGCTTAATTGCTCCCTTACGTTCTGTCATTACCATATCTTCTCCCTAGCCCTCTCTCGTGTACACTTTTTATTTAAATGTTTTGCTATTCTACACTCGCTCGTCAAAGGTAGCGTTTCAAGATCGCTCTAATATAGCAGGAGGTATTCTTCAAATGGTGTGATTACTTTCCTTATCGTCTCTTTGTGCCATTGGGTACCCAGCGCAACTTAGTCTAGCTATTTGCATTTACTCTACGTGAACCTGCCATCTGGGGGCGAGTGATTTAAATTTCGTTCACGCTTCGCGTTCTGGTTACCGTGCAATGAGCGAAGTAGGCTGGGTTATATTTACCTCTTTTTATTGCATTAATTTTCCTCGAATGTGCGTATATATATAGCAAATGTGAGACGTGGGAGCTAGTCGGGGGCAAGTGATTGATCTTCGGTTTTCTATATTTACAACCGCAGTGTTTAAAGCGAAAAATAATCTTCTGAGTCGCATTGTTTTAAAAACGTTTTCTTACCTGCGGGGGAAGTCCGCTTTGGCTGTTGGCGACTTCACAAAGATCGACGCCAACTCGTGGCTACATTAAAAAGCCTTGGCGGCGTGTGTGCGCGCCAGTCTTCTAGAGCGAATCAGATATTCACAGCACCAGGCGGTCTGAAGTCGAAATCAAAAGCGCGTTGTGAAAACCGCCCATACTTAAAAGTCGTGAAAAGCTCATTTTATGATTCAAAGTGCTGCTCCTTTCACTCCGAAAGCAGTAGCTTGTTTTAATTAATGTGCCTCAAGCGCCTGACTGCTTCCATCGTCATAGCTGCTTGGAGGCACCGCAAAGGCTCCAGTAGCGCGAAATATTTGCTGGTCCGAAAAGCATCCAAACTGTTTGCTGTAAAATCGTGGAAGAGATCCGTCTTCAGACTGACAATACACGTAGCACCATTGTTAAGTTTCATTGAGCTTGAATCCCCCCTTTGAAGGCGCCCTATTGAGAGGCATACGAGAAATTAATTTTTCTCCCCCGATGTTAGAGACAAAAGTTTCTTCCCTTCGCAGGAAACGTTGGTCACAAGAGCGTTCTTCATTTAAGAAGAAGTCTCAACTCTGTTTCCTAAGAGTGTAGCCGAATACCGTCATTTTCTACATTTTGCCCTTTTTAAGAATTTTCTCCTCTTCGTTGGAATAACGTAAAACAAGGAAGGGATTGAGTCTCGTTTCCCTGGTTCTACTGCTATGTTCACACTGCAAACGGAACGTGTCGATCTTTCATAATGGAATAAAACGGCGCAAAGATACAAAAAGAAAGGGGCAAACCAGACAGGACAGATCTTTCATAATACGCAAATGTGGGCACAAGAAGCGTACTAATTTTGTTCAGACTATGCGCACAAAAATCACGTGCGCAATTGACTCAAAATTAGTGGACGAGGGTGCTTGATGGTGGTCAACTTTTGCGCGGTTAACGATAGAACCGACACGTATTGGCCTATGTCCGACAAGGTTGTCTTTGCTTCTGCCGGCCTCTGAATCGCTGGAGTCGTTGGAACCTTTGGCTCGCCATGGACATCTAGACTCGTTGGACCCCTTAACTCGCCTTGGATTTCTGGACCCACATTGGGTCTCCAGGTTTATGTTGAACGAGTCTCGGGGTCCAACCAGTAAATGCTCCATGGTCCAAGGAAGACTTGCCTGAACCACAGAGAATCAATGTACGCGTAATAAGATGTCCATTGCGGATCCTGTTTTCTCTCTGTTGTGCCATGTCATAACCTCCTGCGCAGTCTGTGTCACTCGGAACCGTGTCCCCGAGGCAGTCGTGTTTAGCCCTCGACTATTCATGCCTTGTCCTCTTATAACTCCCGTGTGCGTTATCTCAGTCTATGAGGAGCGTTTGCAATTTAATGGAGGACGACTTCCGCGGAGATAGGTCGCAAGTGCGCGTGCCCTGCGTTCTCGAGGGGCGAGGAGGAAAGCAGGTGGAAAGGCTGTGACGCTTGCCGACGATCAACGGTTTCGGCGGGCACCCCGTCCTATCTCGTATTGCAAATGTGGCCCTTAAACAACGTGACCAGGTTCGAGCACTTTGAAACTCCCAGTAATACAACTCTAGGGAGGCTAACGCCGGGGTTTTGAGCGCTATGCGTCGCCTGCTCTTGCACTAGAATGACTGTTCTACTGCGTTTAGAACTGCTTTATTGGGTCGTGTGTTATGAGGGAAGCATATTTTATACGATCTGCGAGGAGGTGTCAAAAGCGTTTATCATCTGTGAACGTCTCCGTCTTTCCTTTGGCCTTGCTCTTCGCCAGGAGAAAACCCAGCGCATGCCCAGCTGCGACCGATCGCCGCGGGAGGTGTCAGCCATTAAATTGCGGACGCTTTCCATTGTTTGTGAGAAACCCTCTCCCTCAACCTGGTCTGTCAATGCTGACCCAACGAAGGTGGCCCTCCGCCCTGAAGCACCAGCGGCGGCAAACAACTTTTAGGACGGCGCCCCCCCCCCCCCCCCCCCCCCCACCCTTGTATTTTTCTTCGTCAGGCAGGCACAGAGAAAAAAGGAGGTTATGTCCATCTGTCTGATTTCTCTTTTCTTAAAGGCACCTTTGAAGCTTCTTTTTTCTGCGTGAAACATGCTCGTCCGAGTGCAATAAAAACAACTAGGTTCTTCCTTCTTTGCTTGTTTTTAATATTTCTTGCAACCTATGACAAAGCAGTGATCTTGCTTGCTCTGAAGCAAGGGGACCCACGAAGCAGTTCCTGCTTGCGCAGCATTCTAGTACGACGCAATCCTAAAAAGCGGTGCCCTCCAGTTTGCTTTCTGTCGAAAAGCAGATGCTAGAATTAATTTCCATAAATGCAATAGTTGTAAATGTTAATTAGAGGCGTTCCATCTCGATTCGGTCTCCTACGGTCGCATCCACGTACAAATAACAACAGTAAGAATGGCTATTTTATATATGTGGAAGTTATCCCCATTTTAGTTTTATTTACTTTCTTTTTTATCAGTTTATTTAGTTCATTTAGACTATTGTGATTATATTCATATATATTATTGGCATATTTCGTCTTGTCTTCTTTTCCCTCGATGTTGCAGAATATTAGAAGAGACTGTGTGACTTTTTAAATTTTGAAATTGAGCATGATTTCGCCTTATTCAGTGCACTGCTTCCGCAACAACAGTTAACAAAATCAGCCTTGTGGCAGGCGCTCAGGTCATTCCTTCTATATACCCCGGTTTCACCGCAGACTGGTTCCGCGCACAGAATCAGTTAATCTAAATAAATGACTTTGTTCCTGCCTGATATTCGTACTGGCCGGTAGTATCTCTGTTGCCATCGAAATTGGGTGTAATTAAAATAAATATTATGGTAAAAAGCACATTCTCTGTTGCCGGGTACACAGGACTGTGGCAGTTTTCGGTTAAGTGCCGCAATTTATAGAAATAACTTCCTTGTAAAGCCCTAGACCACCAGCTTCTTCAAGGCATATTGGAGATGGTAATTGAACAAACGGCAAACACTGCAGTTGAGAACACGTGGCACATTTTCATTGCAAGCAAGACAATGTAAGGAATTTATAAAGCGTGCCTTACTACTACCGGTGTCAGAAGATTGCGTCTGATTGATCAGTAATTGTGAAGGGAGCTGGGATCTCCGCGGACCCGTATTGACACGAGCTTTAATTATATGTGATTACTTGCTCTTTGTCGAAATTTCAAGTTTATATGTATGTATATATATATATATATATATATATATATATCGAACGTGATCCTTTTCAAAGCGCTTTTTACCTAATTTTGATCTTAAATAGAAATTTCTCCCAGATACCTTGAGAATGTACAAACTTTACTCATTTCAATGCACACACGTAAAATCTACTTTGGTACTTGCATAAAATGACATATACTGATTTAAATTTCGTCTTTTTTCTCTCTACTCCTCGCCAGGTGCTTGGAGTACCGGACGAAAGGACGGTAGAGAAGATTTGTGCGTGGATCAAACTGAAATCAGATAAAAGTTTAAGCCAAAAAGACATCACAGACTTCTGCGAGGAAAAAGAGGTATGTGAAATGTTCAAGATCCATAGCGGTCAAAATTAATTTAGGGGTCACAACGGAACAAGAAATAGATGAAAGTGAACATAAAGGAAAAGACCTCACGGTGGCACCATATAATCAGCCAGCTATAAGTGATTTGTTATTTAACATTTGTTTTTACATAAACAAACTAAGAAAATGTAACATGGCTAGTCACATAAATAGGATTAATACACACTTTAGAAAACATCTAGAAGTTATACAAATATTGACGGGAATTTAAAGAAGGGTGCGTAAAATAAGGTTATTACAAGAGGAAGGTATTCTTATACTGCTAGGAAACTGCTATTCACACGGCGATTTCTTCATTTGATACCAAATATTTTTTTCAAAGAGAGGTGCCTAGGTGGCACACTATTCTTGAAACAATATCGGCCCATCAATGCCATGAATTAGCTTCAATACTGGTCGAACGTTGAATTTCGCGAATGTGCAACTCGATCCAATGTTGGGCCACAATTAAGCCGATAATTAATGGAACGTTCGAGCATTATTCGCACTTACATTGGACCGTCATTTCACCAACACTAAAGACCACGTGGGGCCACTATTCAATCACTATTTAAGGAATCACTGGACAACAGTTGGTTTGGGTTGTACAACCCATATTCGCATCCAAGTTTAAACATTTGCTTATTCATCACTGCATCCCAAAATTATCCAGTGACTATTTTAATGTCGTTGTCCAATCTGAAACACGACCTCTTCTAAACTCGGCAGTCACATTTATAAGGCGAGTTACTGAACAAAAACAAAAATATGTATATATTTAAAATACAAAATACAGTGGACAACCTACATTTACGAGTAGCGAGTAGCAAAAACAATCATTAAGATTTCGCTGGTGTAAAACCGGTCTATAAAAAAAAACAAAGAAAGCAAAAAAAAAGAACTCTTAATTTTATCCTCTCCAGTGAGAGAGAGAGAGCAATCCTTACTTCCGTTGTTTTAGACTTGGACGACGATTGTGTCACATGAGGCTACAATCGTGATTCGCGCTCCTCTACCAAATAGAATTCAGTGTTATATTTTCTTTTCATCATTTGAGTATTTGTGCCACGCCCTACCATAAACACGGCTATAAACAAACACACCTCCCTAATTATAACTAGTTCAGCCTTGGCACTCTAGCAAAAATATATTTCTAATATCACACTTAGATAATATTTAGAAAGCAGGTAGCACTACACCTCTAGCAATAATTGACGTGAGTTACAGTGTTATCTGGACAATTTAATATTTACCAAAATTATATCTGACTATTTTATTGAGGCCTCAATATCAAGAAGATTAATACACGTTTAAGATTTTAACCACAAGAAGCTGATAAGTTTCAAACCTTTAGAATCGCTCAAGAACAGCGAAAATATAACTACCAGTTCAATGCGAAAGAACAAAAAAAGAAAGAAAAAAGGCAATTTTATAAAAAAATGTAAAGTTCTTTCTTTTTGTTCATTTTAATGTGAATTTAATTTAAAATATATTTCTTACCACAGCTCCCCGAGATAAAAGTTCCGGAATTCGTGCTGTTCGTAGACTCTTTCCCGAGGACTCACACAGGAAAAGTTCAGAAGAACAAGATGCGTGAGGAAAGCATCCGAATCTTCAACCTGTGAAGCGACTGTGCATAAAACAAAATAAAGATATCGAAAAATAAGGTATGCTTCTTTCACGTCCTTGACCTGAGTGTGGAATAATACTCAGTCGAGAGGAAGCCGAGTCTTCTGAATACAAAAGGTGTAAATGACTGCGGTCTCTGCACTATCAAACATAGAAAAAAATTCAAAAGTATACTTAAAGGTCATCGGAATGTTTAAAAAAATCAGTTAAGATTTCCGCAACTTCTCTGCTATCGTTAGGTTCGATGCAATTGCGCGCAATAGCAACCCCGGTGCTCTTCACATATTTAATTGCACATCTCGAACTCCAGACATAGGCACAGGTCAGAAACTGAAGTATGTTTATTTTGTTTCCCGCTAATTCCCAGTCCCCTCCTTTTTTCATAACTACATTCGTTTTGTGGAAAGCAATGTCGTAGTTTTAGATTTGAATGTCCGGGTGCATAAACGTTTGTCATAACATTAAGGACGAAAGTGCAAATGTTTCTACGAGAACAGAACATCGCAGAAGGTGCGCTTGAAAAGTCTACCAAAAAGTTACACAAAACAAAACGAACACCGTACTAAAATTTATTACTTTCAAATACTAAAAGGAATACGATGCCGAAATCATCTTGTTCACTCTTCGTGTCGCTTTCCGCTGCTCTTCATTTTTTCCAGTTCTTGTTTTTTGTTTTTTTATTTGTTTATCGAGCTTTTTTTCTTGTTACATCGGAGACTGTGCATGTTGATGATCATTAACTTAAGAGAAACATCGCAGCGACAACGAAAATGTTAAGAAAAATAGCAAATAAACACCCAGGTGGTAGTTGTATTTACAAAATCTGTGCTCCCAACAGATGATACTGTCGCGAAGCTATCTCCACGACTTTGTTTCCGTAGGTGTGCCTAGTGTTGTCGGAAGCTCGTAGCTGCCATGAGGTGCGTAAGGCCTACCTCTCGAAGTGGTTCACGAAGACTCCATCTCGGGGTGCCAAGTGACACGGTTTGACATATTTACGATATCCTGGTCCACGGCAATCCTGCCTGGAGCTCTGGCCGTCAACAGACGGTAACATAAAAAAAAAAGAGCCATATTCAAGGAATTTCGGAATGGCTTCCATATGTTGAGTGCGGTTTACTTTTGCTGCCTATATATTTGGGTTGTTGTTTATGTACTTGCGTACTTCTTCTTGATTACTGACCCACATTCTACGTGTCTGGTCTTGCCATCGTGGATTTAGATACGTTTTGTATTGTTTAGCAGTTTCTTCTGAGCCGCATTCGTAATACGTCTTATGTATGCGCTAGCTTTTTGCTTGCTTTAGGATTGAAGCCATTCGATTGGTGATAAACACACCTTTTGGGATGGGATGTCTGCTTGGCTTCAGAACGCTGATAAACCCGAATATAAGCAGCTGCCTGAACACCACAAAGTGCTCGACGCCGGATACAGTCCAGTGAACACTAACTTACCTCTGCAGCTCAAGCTCCATGTACGAACTTTTTCGGTTGTGGAGTCTTCCGTTCTAATCTGTAACTTCTAGTGGCGTGAGAATATTAATATATTCGAATACGAATCAAATACGAATAGTTACGAGGGTTGTCCGTAAAATAAGGTTTTCATTGATTTTTCACGGTAAAAAAAACAGATTTATTGGCATTGAGTACTACATTTTGGAAAGCTTAGACATTCCCCTATTTTTCGCCGTAATCGCCGTTGAGATCAATGCATTTGTGCATGCGGTGTACTATCTTCTTTATGCCTGAATCATAGAACTCTCCCGCCGCACCGTAATGTAGCTTAAAACCGCTTCTTTCAGCTCCTCCCCGGTTCTGAAATGCGTCCCTCCCAGGTGTTTTTTGAATTCAGGGTAGCGATGGTGACAGTGTCCCATCCAAATTCGTTAACGAGATTCTTTGTTACACGGGCGATGTGCGGACGAGCGTTTTCCTGATGGAAACGCACTCCCTTCGTGAGCGTGCCTCTCCTCTTGTTTTGAATCGCGCAGCGAATATTCTTCAACGTCTCACAGTAGCGGTCCGCATTGATTGTTGTACCGGCAGGCATGAATTCGTACAACAATAACCCCTTCCTGTCCCAAAACACGCTCGCCATCACCCTGCCGGCACACAGTGTTTGTTTGAACTTCCGCGGCTTCGGCGACTCTGGATGTTTCCACTAACGGGATTGTTGTTTCGTTTCCGGTGTCGCGTAGTGGACCCAGGTCTCGTCTGCAGTGACAGTAGATTCCAAGGATTCCTCGCCACTGGTTTCATAGGCCTGAAAAAATTCGCGGGCCTCTTCAACACGTTGCCGCTTGTGGCCTTCCGTGAGCATTTTCGGGACCCGCCTTGCACAAACTTTTGCATACCCTATATGGTCTGTCAACATTTGGCCAATGCAGGTCCTGCTGACATCAGGAGTCATTTCGCAGAGCTCCCGAGCCGTCTCCCTTCGATCTTTCAGCATTGTTTCTTCCCCTTTTGCAATCGCTTCGTCCGAAACCGATGGCCGTCCAAAACGCTGTTCGTCATGCACGTCTGTACGTCCGTCTTTGAATTCTATGCACCATTTGCGCACATGCTGTATGCTCATACACTTTTCTCCGTAGACTTCATACAGTTGGGAATGAATGTCCAGCGACGCTGTGTTTTTGCACAAAAGAAACAAATCACAGAGCGTAATTCGCACCTGGCTGGAGAAGCGAGTGGGAGCTCCATCTCCAACGGCTGCCAAGCCAAGACTGAGCGTCGCAGACAGCTCCCGGTGGCGCGGACTGGGAGAGGGGGAACCAACCTACACGCCAATGTCACCGCTTCCCGCGTAACCACGTTCCTCGCGACTGCAGCTCCTTGGTAACCTTACTTTACGGACAACCCTCGTAGCTTCGTATATCGAATCGAATATTGAATAGGCGAAGGCAGGGGCATTTCTTCGCTGCATTTATATTATTCACATGTCGGAACTGAAGTTGATTTGTCTTTTGATTCTTATGTTTTATTTTTATTTTTGAAATCCAGAACTGCAGTTGATTTTTCTACATGACACCTTGTTATCTTCCCTACAACTAGGATTTTCGTTTTTGTGTTTTTATTCTCGTTCACACCAGTGGAGGCACTGGTGTTAACAAGAATAAAAACATAAAAGAAGAATATTATAGATGTAGGAAAGATCACAAGTGTTGATGCAGAAAATTCGACTGCTGCACATAGTCAGGTAGGAGGCGCTCCCTTCGAGCGGAAACTACACCTCCAGCCACAGAAAAACAACTCTCTTACTCGGCCCGGAAGTGGCAGGTATTGCCAGGTATTTGATGCAAAGCTTCGCCAGATTCGAATATCTTAAAGGGGCCCTGCAATCATATTTAAGCCTCAGCCTTTTTTGTGGTTTCCAAGTCTCTTGGGGTTCGGGCAAGCCAGTGGGCACGGAGAGAGTAGCTAAATATCAGTGCATCATATTTTAGCCGGACGACGCGGAAACCTCCTTCACCGACGGGGGCGACCCGCGGTACCAAAAGCGCGCGAAATGTGACGTCTTTGGTCCTGGGCTTATTATTGATCAGAGCCGCTGAAAGCTTCTTTTTAGACGAAATACAAAATATAAGTGGCGCGAACCGTTTCAATTATTTATAAAAGTAGGTTTTGTTCTGTATTTTTGGATCAGAAAAGGAGCAAATGCGGTTTATAAAGTACGGAAACAAGAATTGACCCGTCGACATACCCGCCACCAAGCGGTGGAAAAGGCGGCGTATACTAGAAAGGAATAGTGGGATCAGGCGCCGCACGAAAAGGTCCCGGATGTACGCAGCGGCGCTGCAGTCGTTTACGGACTGGAGGATCCGACCGGCTCCGAGCGTTCTGAAGGCCTTCAGCGTGCAGCTCTGTCTTGCGTTTTGGCCGTTTCGCGGTACGGCAGTGCGAAGTGGCTCCCATTCTGAACTGATCTTCATCCCGTGTTTGCTCTCGTTCGTGGCCAATGAAGTGTCATGGCGAATTAGTGTTTAATCGCGCACCAAATGCAATTAGAGCTGACCTGGCTGCCCGCTGTATACAGCCTATCCAGAACACGCTTTAGTGGCACCCTCTCGCGCCGTCGACACGGAGTGCGGGAGCCGTGAGCGCTCGCTGAGCTTACTATCCCTCCTCTAGCTCACGGCCACTCAAGCAACCAAGGACGTCATGAGGGAGGTTATTTTTTGCTTGTTTTTGTAGTTTTAATTTGCCCATAACTTTTAAAATAAAGTGAAATTCGAGAAAAGAACAGTTTCATTAAGTTACTGCGGTCAGTGCGCTCAGGTTCGGTGCAAATTAAAAACCAGTAGAAAGGTGCCTGCAGGGCCCCTTTTAGCACCCGACAGTTCACCACTACTCACACGGATCACTCTCTCTCTCTTTAGTGGTGCCTCCTCCACATACGCTGCAACTTCCCATTCTGAAGATGAAAGTACTTTGCTTTCCATTGCACTTTTGGCTTGGTGGTCAAATGCTTGCCAAATATCTGCTGACGGTGTTGAGCCTTGCTCTTCTGATTGTTCAGAGCGCTGTGACCGGCAGCCATGTTTTAAGTGTTCAAAGTTAACCGCTTTATCATGAATTTTGGATTGAGAAGATGGCGCTCCAAACTTTCGTTAGCACATGTCACTTGTGAAGGCAACAGCGGTAGTGCCGCCTTCGAAGGCACTTTGGAGCTCTGCTTCACATTCTTTCGGGTGTCGTCATACATTCGTGGCACGAGCACGCACGACCGTGTAGAGCGGGATGGTAGGCGATAGTTCAGAACGGCTTCTGTCGGAATTTCTTCGAAGCCGCGGTCTTCCACAATGCTGTAAGGCTGTAAATCAATCGCCACCGTGGCGGTCCCCTTGATGTTTATCGCTCCCACCCTCTTTTCTGGCTGGCGGATTTCGTGTGGCGTGCGAAGTCCGTCAGCATCGGTTGATCTTTTCCTGGCGTACTACCGGTAATTCCACGATACTCTTTAACCATTTAAAGATGTAGTTTCGGATGGTTGATAA